ACTCGATTCCATACCATGCACACTCTTGCAAATGATTATAATCATTCAGATAATTATCTGAATCTGGCTTGTGCCCCTGCCCCTAGATCGACTCAGCCTCAAATGAGGATCCAGACCAGTGTGACAAGATCTACATTGGGTAGACAAGCGATTGGGCACGGTGCTGATCACATCACCCTCTTGTGCATTTCACCAACCCTAATAGATGCTTGCTAACGTGTCCAGTCTACACAGAAGGCCGGGAGGAGCCTTGTACATTTGATCCAGCAACAAAACATTCTTATAAACATTCAAATATTTTGCTGTGAACTTACTTTGGATCCCAGGTCTCCCTTTAGCTGAAAAAAAATAGAGTTTGTTTCATTGAATTATCATGTGGTTATAAATTAAGTTCATGGTGATGATGATAAATTGCACTGCTACGGTGAAAAAAACAAGCAAGCCTTCCCATAGACAACGATCCAAGCACACATGGCTTTTTAGTGGGTTTTTTTTCATTCCCCAACAATACGACATGCAGTTCAGCATTCCAGGCCGTGGTGCAGCTATCGAGTGTGCAGCCGGTGCAACTGCACCGGGGCCCATGGGCTAAAGGGACCGTCTTCCAATCCGAAAGAAGTACCGATAAAGTTAGAATAAAAACTGACATACACGAACGTCATCGAAATGGCAAATGGTGAAGGAAATATAAAGGTGCGGCCCTACGACTACCTGTTCATGCCACCGTTTGATGGAAGATTCTCTCTTAGAGGGAGATCTGGAGAGCCCCTCAAGTAGCTATTTGGCCTACTTATCTATGCTAGACATACATCTTGGTAGAGGCGAGAGCACCCACACTCTGCTTCACCACACACGGCCTGCCGATGGGCTATCTGGGGTACCCAACTTGTACTGCTGGGTCCACAGAGGCGTGGGGAATGAGAGACTTGCCCGTCGTCTCAAATGCCTCGACGGGAGATAAAAACCAGCGACCTCCGGATTCGCAAGTCCAGCGCAGCAGCCATCACACCACGGCAGGGGGGAGGGGAACGTAATCACGGCGACAACATTTGCCAGCGAATGACAAACGTAAACAACTCATTGGCGTGTCAGGTGAGTCAAAGTTAACGGAACGTAGCTTCCAAACATGTAACCGAAATGTGTTCTGTGGCTACGAATTTCCCAACGTGAAGCTCCCACAAAGCCACTGAGGACCTCCAACTTCCTCTCTCTCTCGCTCCCAAACTCCTGAGCGGGCAACAAAGCGCTGGCTAAGGAAGCCCGTGGGCTGTGCTGAGCAGGAACCCCCACGGGACACCATTACCAGACATTTAAAACCAAAAAGCAACAAGGTTTCAGAACACGCTAACTTTCGCAGAGGATTGTTCACGCACATGACGCTCTTACCGCATGCACCGCTTGAGGTCACGCCGTCGTTCTGTTACAGCTCTCCCACTGCCTGCAGCACTGTGTGCGAGCGCTCAGCTGAAGCCGAATGTAGTCGTCAATTTTCAACTATTGGTTTAAGGTGGAAGGTGGTCGTGGGTCGGGGCGCAGAACTGGCACCGCCGAGATCCTGGATTAAAGTCCATGCCTGCCGCCTGTAATTATACTGCGGTTGTTAATTGTAGTGGATTGACGGTCTCATTCGCACACAACAAAAAAGCCATCACATTTGTGACCAACCATGTGGCTGTGCGTTCGGGCTGGTGGCTCGCAATCAGCAGGGTTGCGAGTTCATATCCTGGTTGGGAATTGATTCAGGCAATCATCCCTCTGGGGTTGATAAAATAGGAACCACTGTGTGGAGAAGTTAACAGTAGTTGTCCGACAGAGAAACTTTCCATAGCAATGGGGAATTTCCACCATTGGCTCAGGACTATGAACAGAAGAGCACCACCTCAATGCAAATTTGAGCAATAAATCACTTTGACATTACATATGGTTCTGCACTTAATTTTGCTAATTTCAAGAACTGAACATGAACCGCATTGATTTGACTTTTAATGCGAGGTTTATGCCAATCCAATTGCGCGGGCACTTGTGTGCCCTGAATGTTGCCCACTTTCCTGCATTCGTTATGTAAACAACGTAAGTAAAAAACATGTAAAAATATAACCCTCTGTATTTTACACAAAGCGCAGCAACATACAATTCCGGCAGAATGCGGCTGAGTGTGGAGCGCGGTGAATGAAGCTGGCACGCATACACGAGCAATGCTAACGGATCAGCGGACGCATCCTCCGGGCCGCCACCTGGCCTGGTACGAGTGGGTTGCAAAGTGCTGCCACCTACTGTGTGGACCAGAGGTCATTTAAAGGGACATCGGATGAGTTATATGACGGGCAATTCTCTAACACGAAGGGTTCCACTGCTCTGTGAGAGATTCTGAATTGATCCTTTGTCTCAAGACTTGACAGGGAGAAAACAATCCGTGGAACATTGGGGGAAAAGATTAAAACAAACTATTGATTTAAGGCAGGCTTCTTTGACTCCAGCCTCACACAATCCTTCACAGTACCATGTTTCCATACTTTCCAATCATCGTGTATGTACTGTACAATGTGCAACAACTTCTTTGCAGCATTCAAATGGAGAAGAGTGGTGAACAAGGAAAGACGGACCAGTGGGGAATGTGAGGACTGGAGGTTGACAAATCTGACCTTAAACTAACGATTGAAACAGTGATGGCTCTATAATGCTTTAATTTAATATTTGAACATTGCAATCCAATGGAAGAGTAATAGCACGCCAATTCAATGGCTATGAGCAAGCCACGTGGTAACACATGGTAAACCCATTGTGTATAGTTGGGCAATTCTCTGTGAAGAAATATTTTCTGGGATTTATCCAAGAAGAAAAAAAAAATACTCAACAACGAAAATGACCAGGCATACCAAGTAAAAATCTTGTGAAATAAAAAAAAAATTAGTCTTGAGACTCAGCAAGACTTTATTCTGACAATTTAGATTTGTAAACAACTGCTGGGACAAACACAACAGAGATTTTGCAATACAGAAATACCTTTACCAGCCAGAATTATTGGAGGGTGAGAATTATTGGAGGGTGAGAGGGTGAGCCTTTCCGATTGTGGGGGGGGGGGGGATATCCAGCATCATCAGCAGCCATGGTCAATCCACTGCTGGTTGGCAAAACACAACTGCATTTCAAGACACTTTGTAGTTTCTTTTGGTTATTATTTCAAATGACCGCTTGAAAGGGAGCCCACAACTTTGCCCGCGTGACTGGAGTCGAGTTATTTTTGTTTACCTAGGAAAGACTTGCCAAGCCCCAGGACTGGTTTTCCACAGAGTCCAACATTGGCACGTTTTGGTCAAATCCAATACTGAGCGATGAGCACGATAGCATCGATCAAACTGTTACTGGATTGTACACATAAGACTCTAGCGGAATGTGCCTTTAGCGAGCACCTATTATGGCTAACGAAATCCACAAGGGGTTGAGATGGTGGTCACCACCAGGCTTGGCCTTGTCTTCCCAGTAAAGATCTTTGCACAATTGGCTTGGTATTCATTTTAGGCTCAGTCGATCTAGAGGAAAAGGGCCACAGGCCAGATTCAGACACTCTTTTTCCAATAGTGTGCATGAGATGGAATCAAGTGCACATTGTCGGTAGGCACTTCACGACGATTCGTCGACCGTGCGATTTAAAATAGATTCTTACGCTCACAATACCTGCGTCGGATCCTGCATGGAACATTCAGTTACTGTTTTCAGAGTCATGCACGTGATATGTTAATGTTACATATGATTATAAGCTCTAACTCATTCAACACGACGTGCTTGCAACAAATGAACCACAATACCTTGCTGATCTCGTCAAGGAGCATAAACCATCACGCGAACTCCGGTCATCCTCAGAGCGGCTTTTAGCTATTCATCGAACAAAGATGGTCACTGCATTACGCGCTTTCAGATGCACTTCTGCGGTCGTCTGGAACACTCTACCTTCCGATAATTAGGAAGCCACTGCGGCTATGCACTTTTAAATCTAAATTAAAAACGAATTTCTTTACAACTGCTTTTGGTGTGTAGTTTGTTTCCTTCCCCTGCACCTCTAATTAGCACGGTTGACTACTTATGGTGCGAAAGAAGTTCAACATACATACATTTAGAAACATGCGTTTAGATAATTTCGATTATTTGGCTGCTATAAATCTCCACATGATAAGCCGCTTCGTTGAGCTATCATTTGTGGCCAGGTCACTTGTGAAAAGAAGATAACAGCTCAGTGGACTTTACGTGGTAGAATAAAAACTTTGTTTTATTTTTATTCTTTTTTAGTGATTTGGCTACATTTCCTATACTTTACACTGCAATCGTTTTTTGGATTTTTTTGTTTTGTTCATGGAATGTTCTGACCCCATGCCCATCCTGGACATCTGTGAAAAATAGCTTTACAGCTCATCAGATTCCTCCAGCGTAAATAAATATTCAGATTCTGACATACCTATTATTAGGTCCACATTTTAGGCAGAGTTGCTTCTTTTTGTTTGCTTTTTTGACTACTTGTGTTGTGGTTATTGCAAACATGATGCCTTGAATAAAGGTGTCAGTTTTGTACCAGTTTAAAAGGGTAAAAACCTACTACTATATTTTGCCACTGGTAAAAGAGATCTCATAGTGTAAATGCTTGCCCCGAGCTCTCATTACTCTGATAGTGCACTGTGTTTGAGTTGTACGCCTTCTGGTGTCATCTGGTCCAACACCAATGGAGACTAGGCTCTAAAGAAAGCCGTCTCGGGTGTGGACCAATCAACTTCAAGGACAGTGCATATTATTATCATTATCAGAGTTGCTTCTTTTTTTTGTTTACTTTTTTGACTACTTGTGTTGTGGTTATTGCAAACATGATGCCTTGAATAAAGGTGTCAGTTTTGTACCAGTTTAAAAGGGTAAAAACCTACTACTATAGTGAGGGGGGGGGGGGGTCCGGGGGGAGGCGGGGAAGGTGGGGGAGCAGGCACAGGCAGGGCTGCACCTTTACCTTAACCTCTTACCCAGCTGGCACTTGAGTCGCGGCTGCATTGCACTGAAGACCGCCATGCGCACACCGTGCAAGGTAGCCGTAGCGGCGGCGGTGGCTGCAAAGGATTCGGCAACGGGAGCGGTGGTGGTGGCGGCGGCGGCGGTGGCGGCGGTGGCGGCAGCGGCGCCGCGTGCCCGGTGCCCTTCCGGCAAGCCTGCGAGAGAGAGGCAAGGCGCGCCAAGTCGCTCGTAAGTTACAACAGTAGCCCCCAGCCTTTTCACACGGAAGGCCTGCTTTTGATCAACATTTATTTTACTCCACAGTAAAATATATATATATAGGATTCAATGATAGGCCACGCTGAAATGTCAAGCGCCAATGTGTAACCGGCAGTGGCAAAAGGCTCAGTTATTCCAGACTCAAATGTACGTTTTAGATTACTTTGGGCGCGTTGCTTTTATGGTATTGGCACTGTCGTCATCGATGCTTATAGTACGTACTTATAGCGTTGTTGTCGTTCGCCTGCTGGATGATAGCCTTCCCACTGTGTGGATCATGATGATTATTTGACCATACTTCCCCATGTTCATAAGAAAGGGACCTTGGTTTTTACACATTTGACATAGAATTCCTGTTAAATGTATTTTAGAAATGCATTATTTCCAAAAACTTACACTTTAAAAATGCAATCCTTCGAATAATTAAAAACTATCAGTACAATACAGTCCGGCACTTATCATTACTAGAACTAATGTTGACATTAATAGCAAAGGCACCATAATTCTGACACACGTAACGATTATTATTAGTGCTGGTATTGTTGAAATGTTTTCAACAAACAACGTGTTTACACTAAACAAGTGGGGCTGTCACTTGCTTTAAGTGAGACACTGTCAGGCCACCACTGTTTAGTCTGCTGATGTGATCCAATGACAGGAAGTCTGGCTCTAAGGAGACCTGCCCTGATCATCGTCTGCTTAATAGCTGGTGTGGCGTAACAACCCGCAACCCCACACACACACACTCACACCAGGTTCGCGACGGCCGTTAAAACACCAGGGGATGTAAACTAAACATACACGTGGCTCCACAAAAAACTCCTCCTTAAAATAAGTGCCAAATTACGGCAGCTCGACAATGACCGATGTGCACGGTTGCAAAAACGAGCTGTGTCGTGTTTCTAACGATATCGACTGTCGCTTAGCCGAAGCTAAATTCACGTACACTGTAAATATACCGCCGAGGTCAGTGAGTCAGAAATGTTCTCGTCTTCAAAAGACGTCAGACGATGTACAGCCTCATTGACATGCTGTCAAACTGCCGCCCTCCAGAGGGGATGCTACTAAGCGAGATTGTTGTCCAAATAGAACCGACGACTTTGAGAAAGCAAACAATTGTGCGCAAAATCCGCTTCGCCGTAAGCGAGCGTCAACTTCAAAGTAACTTGAAAGACATTTGATCCACTGCATTATTTGTTCATCGGATGCACCCAGACTCCTCTCACTAGTGGGCGGATATATCGCACGATGAGCCATACTCCAGAGCTACGCGCTGACTAAACATGATCATAATAATAATAAACCATGATGCATTAATAAAGTTCGTGCTCCACATTTCACAAGAACATTCAGGGCAATGTGTTCCATTACCTCCGCTTTGTAGGGTGGTGGCAAGCATGGCCTGTGCTTGGTTATACTGGGTTAACAGAGTCTGCACAAAGCATTCCTGAGATATTCCGACACTGCCTTTGGGTGCGCAGATTCTACTCTGCTGGAGAAACCTTTGCTGGACACTCCTGCTATGCACCAGGACCATCAAAATGCAGTCGAGCCAGCACAGGGCATATTTGTTCTGCCACTGTAGCACACGACCCGCGAGATACGTCCAAGGAGGCTGAGTAGCGTCCTCTTCACTCCGCTGGTCGTTTTCTGTCCTCAGTCTCGAATAAGAATGCTCGGAAAGCTGCGCTGGAATTTCCAAATCTAATCTGCCTCCGTGCGAGCCTTCTGAATGTTCGTCGATGCCTCTCGTTCTGGATGGGCAGCCATCGCTTTCCTCGCTTGAACCCCCAAGCCCGCCGCGAACCTCTCTCGTTTTTGAAATGTCAACACTCTGCGCGCAGTTAATGCGTTTCTTCAACGGGGGAATATCTTTTGGGAGGTTTTGCTCTGAGAAATCGCCGCAGGCCCTCGTTTGCTTTATAGGTGAGCCCAAAGTCTGGATGTCTTCAACAGAAGTACGCATTCTCCTGCGGGCGTTAGCACGATGTTTCTGCGCACTGGCTTTGGTCAGAATCCTCCCGATCGGGAAGTACCCGAGTGGATAAATGCACTGCAAATCAAAGTGGGGAAAACGATTATTATAATTGTCGTTACAATTCATGTTATCGTTACAATTCAATTACACAGTAGAACATCTATAACACTGGAAGCAATTGGCAGCAGGTTGTCTTTTCATTGGCACTAATGACACGCTGTAGTTTACACAGTTACATTTTTTGGCAGATTTGTTGAATTTAATTTGGTTGCTGTAAAACAATATTGGCAAGGTATCCATCAATTTGAATTGTAATTCAATATTGAAAGGTTAAGTCTAATATTTGATGTACATCAACACAAATCTTCAAAATTTGTTTAAAAAAAAAGTAATATGCAGGCAGAACTTATGCAGCAAAAAATGCAAAGCTGCCAGTGATGTAAGAGCATGATGTAAGGGATACAAAAAACGTTACCACCATCGACTGGATTCCCGTGAATAAGAATTAAGAATAAGTATAAGCCGTAAAAACAAAGTTTTTCACTATAAATCCTTTATATGCGTGGCGGCTAGAGTCCTCTCGTCCTCTGGCTTGAGATGGCTGCCACCTATGGGTCAGATGATTGTGTGCCAGTATTAAGCAATTGGTAATTAAATATTTAATTTGTTTTCCCTAAACAGTGTCAAATTTTGGAAAACATTTTTCACGAACATTAATTGTCTCGCACAACGAGTCTGTGTGCAAAATGTCAGCTCGATTGGATCACGGGAAGTGGGTTAAAAAACGACCGAAAGATTTGCACGGTCGTAAGCAAGCAAGCAAGCGAACTTAATATAAAGGATTTAAAAATAACGCCTTCTCATCAAAATCGCCGTTTTTTACCTGAAGAGGTGAAATAATTCACCACCTTCTCAAACACGTTGGCATACCTGTCAACCCCTTATCAGTGCCCTACCTTATTACAGACCAATTCAGACCTTATTGGTCACCTCGTGCTCCTTATAAATCTCAACGTTCATCCTACAAAGTCCCATCACAAGGGAGAAACACAAAATACGGGTAAACCGTATGGGTTTGACAGGTATGTCAAGTCTACATTTCAATTCTGTGCGAGGATGTGTTTTTTAATATATATTCTTGATGGGTCCCATCGATTTTCCAAACTTTTACACGAATTCTTCTTCATAACCTGGCATACACGCACTTGACTGAGTCAGGCCACGGCACCATCATCTGCAGCGGAGAGTGATCTCAGTTCTCCATCCAGTTTGGTCAGAGGGCAACCCTCCTCCGCAATAAATGGCACTCATTTGAATAAAAACAATATTTAAAAACAGGTACTTGTTCAAGAAAACAAAGGACTTATACGTTTATCCTGTTTATTCTATTTGGAAAGAAGTGTACGATTGTATCCATCCTATACGATTTCTAAACGTTCGTTTAAATAAATTGTACTAATGCAAATAAAAAAACGGAACTGAAACTCAACGATTGTCAGTGTCTGTTAATGACATCAGCTGTAATTCAGCCTGCGATTGTGGTCTGCCTGCTGTATGATGGCGAGATGGATGGGAAACAGGTCGTAGGTTCAATCCTGACCCTTGACGCCTGTATATTTAGTGTTTGCGAGTTCTCTTCCCCTGGTCGTATGGATTTTTCTCCGGGTCCTCTGGGTTTTCCCTCCACATTTAGAATCGACATGCGTTTTAGAGAATTTGGCTACTAAAAATTTCCACATAAGCTACTTTGTTAAGGTATCAACTGTGGCGAGGTCGCCTCTGAAAAAAGAGCTATATAGCTCAGTGGGCCTTATATAGTAAAATAAATTAATTTAGTTCAGGATAGAGATGGTGGTGATCCAGGACATGAAGAAATGTGGAGTGCGCAGGGAGATGGCCCACGACCAGGAAGGAGTGGGAATATTGCCAGGAAAAAGGGAAAGCAGCAGCGAGTGTGCCAGGACGCTCATGGGAACACTTACCTGGGGGTCCTCACACAGGCTGATTGACTCACTGAAGTTGATGAGAAAGCGCCTGAGGAAGCTCGTTTTGCCATTCTTCGTGCACATTGGACATGGACCCAGCATCTGAAATCGTTTAGCCGCCTGGTGCAGAAGACACAATAGAGGCGACATGAGCAGGTGTTCAGTTTTTTAGCATTAGCGTGTTTGTATATTAACCAAAACGCAAGGCCTCCCACGTGGAACTATCAGGTATGGAATCAGCAGCTGAAGAGTTTGCAAAGCGGCGTGGAGAAATACATGCTTGAAATGAATGATGGGAGACGGGAGGAGGAACACAGATGACAATACACAAATAAGAAACCAGTGGGACTGAGCAAGGAACACATCACAAGCAAGAATGATACCCAACAGACAATACTGGTGACAGAAAAGCAGCAAAAGGAAAGCTAAAAAGTATACAACAGCACACGGGAGATGCATGCTGGGAATTAAGAGATTGAAAGATGAACACGGGAATTGGAAAATAAACGCCCTCCATAGTTAGTCTCCACACGGGCCTTCATCCCTGCTAGACATCTCTGAATGTCCACTAACCCAGCTTAATTCTTTCTTAGTTCCTGAGAAAGTATGTATGCTGAACTTCTTTCACACCATACGTAGCTAACCGTGCTAATGTAAATTTCGATTTAAAGCTTTCGTGACTGCAGGGATTCATATTATTGGTTCTTTTGGTAAAGTCACGTAGAAGGGATATAATAAAATAATACAAATTTAATTCTCACGTTTCGGCCACAACGCAAGCAGCCGTCCTCAGGTGAAAAAACAGAGCTGTCAGAAAGACAGCCGTTGTGGCCGAAACGTCGTGAGAATTTTATTGTTTTATTTTTATTATTTTATTATTTCCCTTCTACGTGACTTTACTGAAAGAACCAAGCATACGTGCTAAAGTAGTATCTGTTAGCTTTGGGGAGGCTCCTCTACACCAGTTATTGCCTGGGGGAATGGGCGGGGGGGGTGGTTTGCTGGTTGCTAATCACTGGCCTAATTTATATAATTTATCTGTCACATTTTATCGATGAAACTCAAAATCCAGCGGTGACATCTCGTGATGCAACGGTGATTTAGTTCAGTATGTGATTTTTAATCCCTTGATGTAGTTTATGATTCAATGACGTCGAGGGTGTATACGATACCATGTTTGTCCGTATGCACGAGCCTCTTCATGCAAACATTAAGAGGTGTTTTTTTCTTTATTGCTAAAAGGAAACACAAAGACACAAAAACTTCAAGTAAGCCTTTGATGTTCCTTTATTTGTAACAATTACATTTTAATTCACATAATTTCTGCAATATACTCGCGAGCAATGCATACCGTGGACAAAACTGAGAGCACAAACTAAACACAATTCCTTACTGACACGTTAGCCACTGCCTTATTGTATCTTGTATTCATCATCTGCCACGATCAATCAATCCACTGCTGGGATCTCTCTCGCGTATGTGCAACATCGCACGTGGAAATTTAAGTCTGCGAGCCATGCGATAATCCACGGAGCACTTTGCACCACTGATTTCATCACTCCATCTCCACTCGGCGCGGTTCCGTCCACCTCGGGACGCGTTGTTCGATTTTCCCTTCGGCTGGCTGCCAGTCCGCCAATATTCTTGAGCATGATTTCATTTTATTTGCCCTAGTCTCCGGATCGTACGACGCACTATTTGTGGTTCGGTATGTTTTAAAGTAAGATTTAGGGGATGCGTCTTATAATCCGGCAGAAGTGTGCGTGTGAAGACAAGTCGTTTGATCTCTATTATTTAAATACACAAACCAGGCACATGTTACTCTTCCAGAGCGTCTTATAATCCGGACAATACATTCGCGATTATTATTACAGACTAAATGTATATTTTTATTTAGCAAATACTTGTGTATGCACGCAAACATATTTGATAAAGCACATTATAACACGCGAGAGGACGTAACGGGGGGGGGGGGGGGTGGCACATTTAGCAAAATCCTGAACTGCTAAAGATCGCTTGTTGTTTGATGACATTGAGCATCGTCGACATCACTTTGTAAACAATATCGATCCAGTAGTTCTTGCGTATTTAAACGATTTGACCTCACATTTACTCGCGCTGGGTCAAGGAGAGGGGGGTTGGGGTCGTGGGCAAATTATGTCATTTTAAAAAAACTCACACGAAGCCACCGACGACTTAGAATGTAAAGCACAATACTTATACACATTTATTTGTTTAACGATGCCCCCCCGCCCGCACCAACACAAAGATCAGCGGCTATATTAAAACGCCAGTTGCGTTTTACGATTCTTTAGTAACTCGTCGACGTTATCGTGCAATGTAAACGTTGACAAACCCCCCTCCCTCCCTGCGTTAAAAAGAAAAGGAAATAAGGTTCCTCACGCGGCGTAACATTAACATTTGTCTTCTTAGCGATGTGGCAAGCCGAGGCCCAAACTAGCACCAGGGCGGGCTGCCATAGATAGGCCTCACCCCGCCGTGAACTCGCCCGTCTGCGATTCGCGAGACAAAACTGCCGTGTGGCATCCCTCGACGGTGTTTAATGAAGGCGTCTCTCAACGAGGAGACGCCGTGCCAGTGATAAGCAGTGATCGTGATTGTGTGACGGCGATTCGCTTTTGGCGTTTTGCGAGCGATCAAACGCCGTAAACACAAGTCGAGTGGAGCGGTGACGTCGTCGCGCGCGGCGACTGCGCATGCGCGAACTGGGGGGGGGGGGGCACAGCAGGAGGGGGGGGTACAGCTGGTCGTGGCATCTACCTGTGATCTCAGTGAGTTGAAATTATGGCACCTGCTGGGTCTGTCCCTAGACCTCATGCACATAGCCTGGCACCTAGCCTGGCACAGGAGGGGGTACAGCTGGTAGTGGCATCTACCTGTGATCTCATGTCAGTCGAAACCATGGCACCTGCTGGGTCTGTCTCGAGACCTCATGCACCTAGCCTGGCACCTAGCCTGGCACCTGCTGGGTCTGTCCCTAGACCTCATGCACCTAGCCTGGCACAGGAGGGGGTAGAGCTGGTGGTGCATCTACCGGTGATCTTAATCAGTCGAAACCATGGCACCTGCTGGGTCTGTCCCTAGACCTCATGCACCTAGCCTGGCACAGGAGGGGGTACAGCTGGTGGTGCATCTACCGGTGATCTTAGTCAGTCGAAACCATGGCACCTGCTGGGTCTGTCCCGAGACCTCCTGCACCTAGCCTGGCACAGGAGGGGGTACAGCTGGTGGTGGCATCTACCGGTGATCTTAGTCAGTCAAAACCATGGCACCTGCTGGGTCTGTCCCGAGACCTCATGCACCTAGCCTGGCACAGGAGGGGGTACAGCTGGTGGGGCATCTACTGGTGGTCTCAGTCAGTCGAAACCATGGCACCTGCTGGGTCTGTCCCTAGACCTCATGCACCGAGCCTGGCACAGGAGTGGTACAACTGGTGGTGCATCTATCGGTCATCTCGGTCAGCCAACTCATGGCACCTTCTGGATCTGTCTCGAGACCTCCTGCACCTAGCCTGGCACAGTATGGGGTACAACTGGTGGTGCATCTATCGGTCATATCAGTCAGCCAACCCATGGCACTTGCTGGGTCCGTCCCGAGACCTCTTCCTGTCAGCGAACCTTCGACACTTCACGTGGCAGCCTCAAAGTGCACCTGGCCTAGCACAGGAATGTCGTGGCGACGTCACCGTCACTTAGTGGCGAATGGCGGATGTTGGTATTTGGTGGATGTGAGAGCGTGGCTGTCAGAGCCCCAACACTGATGATGGCTTGGGAGGCCACATTCTCCCTCCATGGTGTCAGAATCATCATCTTATTCGCGTGTTTACTGGGATGAGGAGGAAGGAAGGTTCCTCCAATGAGCTGTAAAGCTGTTTTCTCTCCACATGTGTTCCAGGAGGTGGGTCGCACGGGGTCAGAACGTTGCAACAGCAAACAATGCAAAAATACAATAGGGTGCAAAAGTACGTATAAGAAAGGTCAACACATCCTTAAAAATATATATACAAATAAAACGAAACTCTTTTTTTTATATTACTAGGTAAAGTCCACTGAGCTATTCGCTTATTTTTTTAGAAGCGACCTGACCACAAATGATAGCTCAATGAAGTGGCTTATCATGCGGAAATTTATACCAGGAAAATAATCTAAACGCATGTTTCTAAATGGCCTATTCCTCATATCATCATCATCATCGTCACCAGCCATGGTCAGTTCACCGCTGAATGAAGGCCTCCTCCCCAAGCCGCCGAAATCATCCACCCAGCACCTACATTAATATATCGCCGATCTGCTCAAGTTTTATTGACCACTGCGAAAACGTAGATCTGCTGAATCTGGTCTGCTCATCATTCCAAAGACAAGACTGTGGTGTGTTCCCATAGGAAACGGAGCCTTCTGCAGCCAGGCTCTGTGATTGTGGAATCCTCTTCCTCGGTCAGTTCGGGACTCCGAGTCTGTTTCACCTTTTAAATCACCGTCTAAAAACGAACCTATTTGTTCTACAGGCTTTCCCCGTGAGTTAAGATTTTTTTTAAAAGTTATTTGATTACATTACTCTGTAATTATTATTATCAGTCGCTGTAATCATGGTTCTTCATTTTATTTGAACTTCGAGTGTAGTGATTGATATGGTTATCAGCTTTCTATTTCGCTTAGATATTATACCTGTGAGTGTAGTTTTATTTTTTACATACACGCTTTGAAATACTTTAATATGAAAGGTGTTTTATAAAACATAGATTATTAATATCTCCCAGGTGGCCAACCTCTCTCTCAAATGGGTCCCATGCTTTGGCTGCCACTCCATGGTTAATTATTGGCCAGGAATCAAAATCTGGATATTTAGTGATACTGGAGGAATCCGATGAGCTACCAAGTTCGTTCTCACAGACGTCACCCACGTGCCATCATTGTCACTTCTAGCCATGGACGTCCCCTGCCCAAGCCCACTTTCTGTTCATAATAGTTTGAATGGTGTCATTAACATGCGTGCGTTCTCTCATCCACGTGTTCGCCATTGTTTTCAATACATTGCAAATAATGAACTGCAATTACATTTTTATTAATTGTAAAAAACTAATGATGCAATGCATAGCGGATTAATTATACATCCCTTTTTTACTGAAAACATTAGCCATACCTCATGTATCGAGGTAACATTCAACACGTTAACTCTCCGAGGTCGATAAAATAGCTATCCACTTTGATAGAAAATAGATAAACGGATAAGATGTCTCCTTCTAATAGCTGTCTCTCCACATAAAAATATATATATCTATTTGCACACAACCCATCAGCTCCATGTCTTCTCTAGGCTTGCATAATCTCAGCAGCATTAACTCAGAAAAATACGAATTCTACAGCGGTTTCGACATGCAGCGTTTAATCACCACGGTAAGTTTTGCTTTAATCAATCCTGACAGATGTTACTTTGTTACAAGTCAATTGCATGCTGTTATTGATACCCCTGCCATACGAATGTGGAATTTCCACCATTGGCTCAGGGGTGTAAGCAGGAGACGAGGCATGCTCCGCGCTCGTTTCAGCGGAAAAACAACTTTGACCGTTGGCTCTATGTCAATATTTGTGTTTAAGACATCCTGGAAAAAAACCTGATAACCCACAACAGTTCATTGTTGTCGTTAGGAGGAGGGGAATTTCGTGGATGGATACAGTTCATTGTGCGACCATCCGCTCGGAGATGATTACAATAAACCACGTCACGCGTGGATGCGGACGGGATTGTAATATGAATAATAATAAAGATGCTCAGTCCTTTATCAATCCACTGCCGGATTAAGAACACGATAGGTTTATTCTAGAGTTGTACACAGGAAATACAGTTATGTGGGTTATGCTCTTTTTGTTCCAGACCACTTTTCGGGTATCACCAATGAGACCACGTGTCTCTTTTGAGAGGAAGACTCGAGTCGTACAGAGGTAGCTGTCATTGTAACCGAGGTAACTTTACTCAAAAATTACTCTGGGGCAATTGCGACCCTCGACCAGTAATGCCAGTCAATTCCACGTTCCTGTGACAAGGCCCAGTTGACCCTCATCACAGCCATTGTCGGGTTCTAGACAGGAATGATGGGCTGAATCATTCGTTTTACAGCTCCTTTATCAAGCCACTGTTGGATGACAGCCTCAAACTACGCTGTTTTGGTCATGGGGGTGGGGGGGTTCATTGACCATACTTCACCACGCTGATCGGTGCGTTTTTGTTAAGGAGAAAGAGTGCACAGGACTGGTTCAGATATCGTTCACCTCCGATGTGATCCGTGGCTGGCAATTGAACGAAGTGAATTGCCTGCAATAGCCCGATGCTGCATTAATTAACAATAGCTTGTACAATACAGTACTACACTGGACATTTGTACATCAATTGTTTAGTAGTATTTGAATACGTCTATGGTATAGTATACATACATGCAATATGCGGGTCAAAGAATCGTTGTTTAACCGCATCTTTCTTTATAAAAAAAAATAAGTCGTACACGCAATAACTTTGCGCACGCTATATCCTTGGCTATTGAGACAGCGCTTCGTGTCAGAAAAACTGAGGCTCACTTGATGGACTCATGCGGTCGGCTTGGTTTGGTTGAGTATTCGTTTGGCTCACAGCGAGCGAGTGGCATTGTGTGCAGGCCAGAGGTCGCAACCGGGTACCCGATACCCGTACCCTACCCGATAGCCGGCTACCCGTGCCCGGCCGGGTACGGGTACCCGTTTGCGACCCTGGTGCGGCCGGGTATGGGTACGGGTAGGCCGTGAGTCACTGGTGAGTAACCGTTTGTCACTCATTTCGGGTAGGGTACAGGTAGGGAACGAGTACCCGTATCCGGCCGGGTACCCATTTGCGACCCTGGTGCGGCCGGGTACGGGTACGGGTAAGGAATCAAAACCAGTTTGCGACCTCTGGTGCAGGCGACTTGCGTGCGATTCCTGCTGTTGCTCATTGTGGTGGTGCCCGTTCTTTGCGTGGAATTAAAAACAACACTTTTGAAGACATCCTTATCGTATTTTGTTAACCAAGCAACCAGATAGCCACTCAGGCCGTCAGAAGTTCATTATCTATCGTGAAAAAAACAATAGATTGTGGTTGCATGTTTACCCCATTCGCAGCGCCTCTTAGCAAACTATTTATTTAAAAAAACCACAAGTCAGCATTGTGTCACCACGTATTTATAACCGACATTCTAATGGTGACCTCATTTTGCAACATAAATGTTGTGCGGTAATTTAATGGGGGGAGGGAGGAGCGGGCTTTAACTCATTCACAAATCACATCACGGTTTATGTAACATTGCATACATTAGGTATGTGTATATTTTATTTCACTTAATTTTTACGAACCTTTTTTTGTCAATCCACTGCTGGATGAAGGTCTCCCCACGCCATGTCGGTCATGGGAGGGGGTGAGATGGGGAGGGTGAGATTGGGGGGGGGGGTGTTGACCATACTTCGCCACACCGGTTAGTATTCATAGCCGGGAGTGGAGCTCAGGTCGCCGGGTTAATTGCGCGATGCGCTAACTGCTGTACCACCGCTCCAGCCACTTAAACGTATATGCATCTCTGACATCGTTTAGTTCCAGTTGATTGTTTTGTATCCCATTGGCTACTTGTAAAAATTATATAACTTCATGAAATACATGGGGGGGAGGGGAGCGGT